CTGTAATCGAAAACAACAAGGAAATGAGTTGGTAAAAGTTAGGAAACCATTTTTAAGGCTCAAATCATGATGGATGTGCAAAAGTGGGGGGGCTACCTCGATGCCACAGCACTGCCAGCACCGAGCAGTGTCTCCAGCAATGTGTTCGAGGAGTGCTTCAGCAGCTCGAGCAGTATCTGGCCATCGATATTGATTTTTGATGGGTTTGCGTTGGCGTTTCCGTTTCCCCACTGCGACGTGGACAGTGGCAGATCCTGGTGCGTGGCAGCAGCTGTTCGCTGGCTGGGCTCCGCGACCGGCTCCGTCACTGCGGATTGGCAGGCGCAGGCGCACTCAGGGTTCAGCTTTCTGGGCATTCCTGGTCGCCTGGTTTTCTTGGCGCCGCTTGCCAACGCCGGCCGCAAGGGCTTGAACTTCTTTGCCACCGCCGCATAGTTCAGCGCAGCTGATCCCGATGCCATGTGGTGGGACGTGAGGTGAAAGCTCTCATACTTGGCCAAGTACTCCCGATTGTCGTGCTGGAAGTATTGGGCCTTGCACTTCCTGCCACCGTTAACTGTCGGTAGGGAAACGCTTCCTGCTTGGGTGTGAGTATGAGGACTGCTGGGATGGCTGGCTGTGGCGGCTGCGGCAGCTGTCTTGGCGGTGGTGGTGGTGGCGGCACCAATTGCGTGACCTGCGCGTTTGCGACGCTTGCGGCGTTTTTTCGATTTTACCACTTGCAACGTGGTGGCTGTTGTTGTTGTTGTGGTTGCCACTGAGGCAGCAGCAGAGGCTATCCCCACCGATGCCATAGCCGTGGAGGTTGTTGTATTGGTATAGATTTCCGAAGAGAGCATTTTTGGGTTTTTTTATAGCTGAACTATTATTATTTTATATGTATTTAAATATTTATAAATTTGTAAAAATATGTATTTTTTAGTAGTATTAAATTCCACGTTTTATTATGGAAGACAGTGGATTTAACCGAATGTTAATTCGTTCTATACGCGTTTAGTTTCTTTATTTAATATTTATATAGACGTTATTCTTTGTTATTTTATGATTTATCCATTGATGCTTGGAAGACAGTGGATTGACTCTTTAAACTTCTTATATAGGTACAAAAAAATAGATATATAATTTCATCGGTTATTGGAAGACGATGGATTAGCTTTTCTTTGATTCTGGCTACATTGTGCCATGCATTATTATCTGAATGCAATTAATATTAATTTGTGTGTGTTATCCTAAACGTTATGGAAGACGTTGAATAATGTTTAGGAGACATTGGATTAGCTTTTATATAATATAAATATCTGCATGCTAGTTGTATGCATTGGTTCACTCCGTTTGCTTGGCGCACTTCTTGACTCCACTTCACGACTTAGACGACTAATTAATTACTGGCTATGTTTGGAAGACTTATTTAGTGATTTGTTGCATTCGTTTAGTTTGGCATCAGTGTGGCCTTTGGCTCTGCTCTCTGCTGTCTCTCTGCCGCTGCCGCAACACCATATTGTAATGGGGCTCCACCTAACACTTGCAACAACCACTAGAATAATACACACACGAGATCCGACGACTTGAGCCTTTAATCCACTGAACAGTGGGTTGCAATGGTGCTTTAGGGGTGGAAGACGAAAACGACAACACCACTGCCACCACCATTTGCCTGTATTTTAGTTGCTGCATTTTGTTCTCCTTTTTATCGTTGCACACTTGAAGGGCTGCTTTAGAGCAGAGGAGAGGGTTCCCTAGTTGTGTGTCTCTATTTTATATTTTGTGTGTTTGCTTTGCTCTCCTTATGCGTCGGCTTATGGCTGCATCTCTGGCCAGGCGGCGGCTTGTGGGTGGCTCATTATTTGTATTGATTTTTCCAGAGCCTGACGTGAAAGTGTCGGGATCCTTCCGGACATCCTGTGGCTGCCTCTCTGCACCACTGCCATTGCATATGTTCACTTGTGCTTGTCTTCATGCCCAAGGACACTTCTTGGCTGCTTGTATTTAATATTTATCTATTTTAATTGTTATTTAATTATTCCTGAGCGGTACAGCCATGTTGCTTTGGCTTTGGAAGACTTCAAGTGACTGAAAACGGAAGCTCTTTACAGCAGCTTTTTCTCTATACCACTCCGCAACGCCGATTGGCCAGCATGGACCACTAGCAGGAGCGCTGACGTGGTGGGCGGCCACATGCTGTGCGCACCACCCAGCGGCGCAACGGCGGGGCGCACGTTGCCTGCCTGGGGGGGGCTACAGCTGTCGTTGGCCGAGATTGTGGCAAGCGTTTTATTTAACCGTTTATTGATTTGTCAACTAGGCCCAGTTTTTGTTTAAATTACATAAGCCTGGATGGATATACTACTCACGCTACGCGTCCAAATTCATCCTTTGGTGCATCTGTCTTCCCCTGTCCCACCAACTTCTGTCGAAACGAGTCCACTTGCGACTTGATGTCCTCCGGTGTGCGTCTGTTTGGATCATAAAGCAATACGTTATTATTTAGAAACTTTTTACCAGTACAAATTCTTAAAAGAAAATACCTTGGAGACTGATTTACACGCAGATTGATTGAATTCTTTGATGAATTCTTAACTTAATAAGGCTTTTGGGTATTATTTCATGAATATTAAAGGCTGAACTACATTTAAAATTAAACTTTAATGGGAATTCTTAGATTGTTTGAATCGTTTGTCCGTGCGGCACGCGACACGCGGATGTCTTCTATTGAAGTAATCTCTACAACTGAAATGCACTTTTTTTCACCACCAGGGCAGGCCTGGCCCAGGCCTTGGGTAGGCTGTCGAGTCGGACACCGGAAGAGCGTCGCAGTGCTCATATGTATGTGACGCATGGTAGGGGTTGGTGGTTGCGAGAGTGCGTATGCGCACTCGTGGCGAGAAAAACGAGACGTCGACGCTGCTACCAGGCGCAATCCGCAAACAGAGCAGGAATATAAACAGACCAAGCAGCGGACACATAAACAGAAGTAGTATCATCACCAGCGCCGCAAGGTTGGTTGGACTTGCAGCGCTGCATATGCGTTGGGGCCACCGGACTTATATAACTAGGGATTCATTTACATACCCATTGCCGTACACGGCATATGGATCAGATCAACGTAATCTTACCCCTGCTTTTCGAGTATTTCCTCGAATTCCAAGCACTTGACTTCGATCTTGCGCTTGCGGTCATGGTCAAGAATCTCCTTGTTGGGCGGACGATTCAGCTGGGCGTCCAACTTTTTGATGTCATCTTCGCAGCGATAGTCCTTGTCCTTTTTGCCCGGTCGCACGAATGCACAATTTCGCTGCACGTGGCCGTTGGTGCCGGAGCCGCGGGCGGTTGTCAGGCCAATGCCGTTGTACATGATGCCTCACTGTAGCTGGTTATCAATGCATCAATGTCCTCGGGGGGGTACTTAGTGCTCCACCAATACTGCAGTTTGCATACAGACAAAATCGATTTTAGTTGCAATGTGGGCAGAATTGTCAACGCACGAGCTATGTGCTTCTACACACCTCTTATTTGTCCACTGTAACGCATACGGATATGTGCTCTGTGTTAATTAATAATTTTCTACAATTTGCGGCACATAAAAAAATAGTTTTGCGAAATTCCGGCGCTTTTTTCTTCGATATACAGTGTGGCCGATTAAAGATACCGTCTGACCATCAAAAATATACCACATAATATTCAAAATATACCGACGCAAAACATATTCCCAGAAATGTAGAGCTGCCATTATCGATAAGACAATATATCAGCAATATATCGATAGCGGGTATCGAGCACGCGACAATAAAAGAAAATAAACAAATCGCATTTTCCCAAACATAAACTAAAATAAACAAAAATATGAGCGATGCAGAAGATAAAACAAAGAATGAGGCTTCGACAACAAAGGTAGTCTTCAAGAAGTCCTCACGCAAAAACCTGCGACAACGCAAGAACTCCGATGACGAGGAAAAAGAGGAACAGTAAGTAAAATCATCAAAAATCAATTCGGCTACAATGTTAATTCCTCCCCAGAATAACGCTTGATGAGATTAAGGAGCGCCAACGCCTGCGCCAGCGTCCAAATGGTGTCAGCCTTGTGGGTCTGGCGCTCGGCAAGAAAATCGCTCCTGAGGAGGAGTTGGCCATAAAGGATCCCTTCAATGTGAAAACTGGTGGCCTGGTTAACATGGCGACACTGAAATCTGGCAAGATGAAGGAAGCTGAAGATCCGTACGATGTGGGCATTGGCACACAGTTCTCCGCTGAGACGAACAAGCGTGATGAAGACGAGGAGATGATGAAATACATCGAGCTAGAGCTGCAGAAGCGCAAGGGCGGCGGCACAGATGCCGCAGACAACGACGACGATGTGAATAAATACCTAACGCCTGAAGACGCTGCACTGTATGCCCTGCCTGACCACTTGCGGCAATCATCTACGCACAGATCCGAGGAGATGTTGTCCAATCAAATGCTAAACGGCATTCCCGAGGTAGACCTGGGCATTCAGGCTAAGATCTGCAATATTGAGGCAACGGAGGATGCCAAACAGAAGCTGCTGCAGGATGCCAAGAACAAGAAGGACGGGCCTTCGCAGTTTGTGCCCACAAATATGGCTGTCAACTTTATGCAACACAATCGCTGTAAGTACAACTCGTTTTCGATTGAACTTCACATATAAATCTCTTGTTATTGAATACAGTCAACATCGAGGAGAACAGCGAACAGCGTAGACGCAAACGTGAGGAGAGGGAGGGCAAAAAAACAGCCCCGAATCAAACAGGTCCCAATGGTGTAAAGCGTGCGACCGATGACTATCATTACGACAAGTTTAGGAAACAATTCCGCAGATATTAAAGGTAAAATTGTTTTAATTAAACAAAATCGATTATTTTATTGTCCAAATAATTTACAAACTATATTTATAACGAAATAGAAGTATTGCGTGTCAGTCACCTGAAAAAAAGAAAAAACTTGATTAGTCATATTTCTCGCAAGCTCATTAAAATAATTCACAAAATGTGATCAGTAAGAGATATTAATTTCAAAGCAAAGAATGACTGAAGCTCAATGAGATTCCTACTCGTAAAATCATCACAAAGATACGAATTAATGGGATATATTTTAAACTTTACACACCTTTTAAGAGATATTCCGGACAAACAATCACATTTTGGGGAATCTGAAATCTAGAAAGAATATTTTGATTAGATGGGAAATTATATAAAACAATTTGGTATTGCAAATAGTAGAATCAGTAGAGATTAAGTTTATTTCATGGCAACGAATGACTGAAGCTCAGTGAGATTCCTACTCGTAAAATCATCATAGCATAAAATGTTCTGAGATAAAAAATGGGGATAGTACACACCTTTTGCAAACGAAAAGACCGATGCCACTTTGGGAGAACTAAAAGAAATGGAAAATACTTTGATTAGATGGGTACATAAATATAAAATCAATTTGTTATTATTATTGGTAATAATCAGAAAGTTAAATTGATTTCAAAGCAACGAATGACTGAAGCTCAGTGAGATTCCTACGAAAAATCATCAGAAAGGGGATATCTGTTGCTAAAACTTTTAAATAATTACCTTTTATGGTGGTGGTTTATCAGATTCGATCATTCCCAATGCGTCTGTAAAGAAATAGATTGTTAATAATGGGTACAATAATTAGGTTCGGGTAACAACTCACCTTTGTTGATTGTTGATGGGTTCAGGATTATGTCTGAAATTAATCTCTGAAAAACGTAAGAAAACCCACAGAGACCCAGAATGAAGCAAGTGAATGGTATCTTTTTGAGTGGTTTTTATTATACCCAGACGACAACTTAGAAACGTTCATCCTCGCTCTGTCAACTTAGTTATTATTTTGTTTATAGAACACAATTCTATGTAGAAATGTAGAACGCGATGCACGTTCCCCACACTTTGCTTGTTTATATGATGCCGATCTTGTTGGCAATATCCAGAGCATCGTAGTCACGCGCCAGGCGCACATAAGCCTTCTTCTGACCATCGGGCCTGATCAGAACATTCACCTTGGCCACCTTGATGTCGTACAGCTTGCGGACCGCGGCACGCACGTGGTTCTTGTTGGCGCGCAGGTGTGTGAGGAAGACCAGGGTGTTGTTGTCCTCGATCTTCTTCATGGCTGCTTCCGTTGTCAAGGGGTACTTGATGATGTTGTAAGCATCCATGCGGTTCCTGGTGGGCACCGACTTCCTGGGGTACTTGGGGTTACGGGGCAGCTTCAGGGTCGTGGGACGACGGAAGTGCACGTTGGTGCGGACCTTGCGGGTACGGGTACCGAAAGCGCCCTTGATGATCTAAAAGATTCAGAGAAGAGCAAAGGGTTTAGCCAAAAGTTGACCAGAGTAAATGTTTCTTACGAACTCACCTTCTTCTGGACCTTCTTGGCGTTCAGCAGAGCAACAGCCTTGGCCTTAGCAGTGCCCTTGGCGGGCTTAGCACCAACCTTGCCGGCCTTCTTTGCCTTGGCAGCAGCACGAGCCTTGGCCGAGAGCTTGGCCAGCACCGACTGTGGCTTTTTGCCGGCAGCGAGCTTCTTCTTAGCATCCTTGGCCTTTGGCTTGGCCTTGGTTGCCAGCTTCTTCACGGCTGTGGGCTTCTTGACAGCAGCGGTAGCTGGCTTCTTGGCAGGAGCAGCCGCCTTCTTGGGAGCAGCAGCAGCGGGCTTGGCAGCCGCTGGTGCCTCCTTCTTGGCAGCAGCTGGCGCCGCAGCCTTCTTCTGCTCTGGCTTCTTATCGCCAGGCTTGGCTGCAAGCAGAACACCAAATTGTATTGATTAGTAAACATCTCCAAATGTGATACACACACAAAGTAAGGTTAAGCCTGATCTATCATCTATCAGCACAAAAGCAAGCGTTGTCGTGGTCTATTCTAAATTTCCGCTGTCAATTTCACTATGAATTAATGTTGAACAAATTTAGCCAGCGCTACAATCACTGTTCAAGCTCGCACACACTTTGCCCATTGTTTGCCGTGGTTGGACGCAGCCACACCGCACGTGGCGAAAACATGGCGATACATTTGAAGTAATTTTTGCCTTAAATTCGTGATTTTATGCACATTTTCGTATTTTCGATTATAGTCCTTGCTTTTGCGTTGCTTTTGGTGATTAATCCACACATTTTTAGTTGATTTTTATATGAAAAAACCTTACCGGATTTCTCGGTTGGCTTTTTGGGTGGCATTTCTACGAGAAAAAGAAATGAAAAGGAAAACCGAGGGGCGATTGTCAAAAAGCGGAAGCGTGTTTTGACAGTAGCGCGGCCAGATCGCTCAAAATGTGCGCTTAACAGCACTCTAGGTGCGCGAAACAGCACTTAATGTTGCGTTTAACAGCACGCTAAATTGTTCGCTTCACAGCACGCTAAATTGTGCGCTTCACAGCACTTTACGTTTGTGCGCGCAACATAAAAATAAACGATCGCGCTGTTAAAATTAATTCTGTAGACACAAACAACATAATAAAATGTTTGTACTTTATTTAAATATAATTTTACATGAAACTCTAAGGGCTGGCGAGAATCTTTAAAATATTCCGGCTTTAAAGATTCCATATATCCAGATTTTAATGTGATTCGAAACGTGGCTCCATCTTGAGTTTTTCAAGCGAAGCTCTTGACCAGGGAGAGAAGGTATATTTTGGTGGGGAGTGTGGTTAGTTATATCGATAAATCAGCGGACAGTTATAATTTGTAATGATATGTTTTAATTAAATAAGCTAAGGGCTAGCAAGCGCATCCACTTTTTTGTCTTGAGAAGCGACTACTGAAATAGCTACGTAAATCTGCAAGAATAATATTGTAAGGTCAATGCGTTGTTGTGTTTAAATTAAAATGTTACCAAATGTTTGCGATTTCACAGATGGCAGGGTCGCTTGCTCCTGTGCTGTGTGTTTGAGGGATCCTATCTGTTGCTTTACTACCTCCTCAAAGGCCAATGCAGCAAGCCGTTGGAACAGTTCCGTCACCTTGAACCCGGATCGCGCGGAAACGGACCAATATTCGGCCTGAAGCTCTGCGGCAGCCATGCCCGCCAAGCGCTCCATTCGGATGAATTCCTCCTTTGTCTTTGAGGTAAATATTATTATTATTTATTTGTACTAGAATATATGTAGATTTGCTCACCAAGAGATCTGCCTTTGTGCCCACAAGAAAGACCAATGGTCTGTGGCTTGTATTGTAGTTGAGTGCACTGGCCAGCCATTTCTTGGCCGATTCCAGGGTATCGCGTCTCGACATGTCATAGGTCACCACAATGACTAAAGTAGGTTCGATCTTAAAGGCAGATAATTATAGTTTTATGTACATACCACTTGCATTGCGATAATAGGCGCCAGCGATGCACTTGAAGCGCTCCTGTCCGGCCGTATCCCACCTGGAAACGAAGCAGAATTTGAAATAAAGGAGCAACAGGGGAGAGGTGCACCACATACATCTCCAGGCAGTAATTGTGACCAAGTATATTGAAGTTCTCCAGCTCAAAGTCCACACCAATTGTTGCCTTGTAGTTGGACTGGAACTTGTCATAGCAGAAGCTAAAGAAGAACCAAAAGATTGAACACCTTCCATGGCATGGAATTTGATTCTGCACTCACCGATTGGCTATGGCCGTCTTGCCCACGGAGCAGTCGCCCACAAAGATGACCTTGCAGGGCCGGAACTTTGGCTTGCGTGGCAGCTCCAGATGATAGCGCACCTGTGGTGCAAAATCCTTCTCTCGGCTAAGCGGCGTCTGTGCGAGACTGTAGGCCGGAGGCAGGTTTCGGATTGTCGTCCGTGGATCGTGCATTGTAGCCGTGGGAGAAACGGGCAGTTGCCGTAGCAGTTGAGGCATAGTGAACGTTTCTATTTCAACTAAACAGCGCGACAACAGCTCACAGTTGTCGTCAGACGACTGCGCCACAAAACCACAAACTACGCCGCTTGAACTTGTGGATATGATATGCTCAAGGTACTCGTGGCTATCTTACACCCCGAGCTGTGATTTGCATTGTAAATGCAGGTAGGTGCCTGATAAGAGCAACCAAAACGAGGCTTACTTAATGGCAACTCAAGGCAAACGGAACATTTTCTTTATTCACTCATAATTATACGCCTTTGGCTGTTTGCTGCCAGCGGGATAGCCAAAGTGGCCGACACTCTTCACCTGCTGCCGTAGATCGGGTTCCATGGCCAGCGCCTTGAAAATGGCTCGCTTCAGCTGCTTGTACTGAAAGTGCGGTGGAAAAGGCATGTCCTCGAACGAAAGCATCAGCAGATTGCCAGCCTCATTGCCCACCGCCAAGGAGCGACCACAGTGGGCAAACCTAAAAGTTCATCCATCGATCAAGGAAAAAATCTAATAAACTTTGGCAACACGCACCGAAAAGTTGTGTAGAAGATGTTGGCATCTATTGTGGTCGAGGACACGGGCTTCAGTGTGCTGTTGCGCAGATCCCAAATGTCCACGGTGCTGCGGCTGAGCGAAACCAATATGGTGGAGTGGGTGCGACTCCAGCGTGCGCAGTGCACGGGCGACAGATGATGGCGCAACGTGATGATCGGCGAGAGGATGCCAGCCAGCCAAATGCGTATGCACCTGAGGCAGAAACCAAAATAAGCAAATGGAAAATCTCTTCAGAGATTCATGCCTCACCAGTCGCTGCCGCAGGTGAGGTACATCTTGGGGGACCACGGCGAGAACTCCATGCCCATGGCCGGGCCATCGTGAACCTGTCGCTGCTCCAGATGCTGCAGCGGATAGTTGGTGGAATATTTGTAGAGGGTTCCCTCGTCTGTGAGGACATAGTAGATGTCCGCCTGCAGCGGATCCAGCACCAGTTCGAGGCACTGCGGATGTCGATTGGCCAGCAGCGAGGCCGCTGGCACCGGACGATCAATCTTAATGCCCTCCAGCTCACCCTCGGCTCTCTGCAGACGCTGCTGTTCGAAGCCCAGCAAATGGGGACTGTTGATCAGGCGATACTTGGTGACAGCGCCCGCCCGGGAAACGGCCAGAAAGGGTGTAATCATGGCCGGGCCACCCACCTGATCGCCTGCTTTCCGAATCCACCTGATGGCCATCACAGGCTCAAAG